AAGACTTAAGTTGCCTATTTTATGGCGAGTTGAATATTATTTTTATATTTAGAGTTTTTCATTTGAGTTAAAGTTTTGTATTTCAGTTTCATGAATTTTATTCAGTTTTAAGCTTTTGCATGCTTAAGTTAGTCTTCCGCTTGTAGTCAACCAGGATGAGGGTTCTCTTGGGGACCAACAATGGTTTTGAAGTGTCGGCCACGTCCAGGGTGTAAATTCGGGTCGTGACACTACCGCTGTAAAAAAGTCAAATTTTTATGTGCTTCATTCTTCTTTATATTGAGAGATTAAAGGTAAATACCTATACCAAAAGTAATGCAAGTTAGATTTTATTTGAGTCCATTTCATTAAACAAGTACTACTTGATAAAACTAAATATTCTGAAGGCATTTACAAAATACTCTTGGTTTTGTATTCTAGAGAGTAATATAATTTCTTTGTTCTCATACGTTATTAGAGAATGTTGATACATCGATTTAGATTTCGAGCACCAATTTCGTTACTTATATAAGCTATCTCTTCTTATATGTGATTTGCTGATATTGCAGATATATAGATGAAAGAACACTCACATCTAGGTGTTGTAAGCTGGAGCTTTGTTGATTTGATCTAACTAATAGAAAAAAGTGGATCCTACCGGAGCAACCATGGTACTGCAAAATTGGTAAGGATCGTTGCTATTATTGCTACTTCGGGAGGAGTCATATGTTCTCAGTTTATTTAGTAGTGCAAAAATTGATAAGTTACTTGAGCTACTATTATATTGTCGCAATTGGATTACGTTTATCGTTTTGTTCCATTTGAATTTCATATTTGCCCTTGACCAGGAACTATCGAGGCATTATTTTGTAGTAGAACTACTAATAAAGAACCATTTTACTAATAGAAAATATTTTGTTGCCATTGAAACTTGACCGAGTTGGAAACCAGTTTTAACAAATTAGTAATATGCTTTCTATCTTGCTGCGGTGAGTTGTTATATCGTTGGACATTAACAATTCTGAAATTTAGATTTTAAAGACGGTGAAACTGACGAACACACGCTTCTGCTCAAGTATAAGTATCAGTTAGTTCTCTGTCATTGTTGTTTTAGAACTTTTTCTACTTTATGTGTGATATTTTAAAACTGATTCAGCCTATACTTCAAAATTTTATGTACTTTGGTCTCAATATTGCATCTTACAAATTTCTACTGTAGTTTAGAGCAATGCTTGTAGAATTTATAGATTTTTTTCTACAATATAGTCATTCATGTAAATAAATAATTTGGAATGTGGTGATTTCTCCTGCAGTATCATCATTCATGTAAATGCTTTGTACTTCTTGCTTTGGTGATTCCTCCCTGTTCCTTCAAAAAGAGAACAAAAAGCGGAATGACATGAGAGATTTTGAAAGTCTCTTTTTATGACAAAATTCTAAGCTCTACTACAGCTTGGATGGATGCCTCCATTCGAGAATAGATCATAGTGTAAGTATGTTACTTTCAAGTCCATTTTTTACCGTTAATACAAAATTTCTTGCCTGCAATAGAAACCACTGTGAGGATATCTATACGTAGTTTCAAATCCGTGTCACAGATAAATTTAACATTGCTTGTAATTCGATCCGTGAGATATTGGGTTGTTGCTAACCTACCCAAATCCAAGTTATTGTGTACATTATAGACAAATAAAAGGTAACTGATTATTCCACTATTCAATTTATCTTCCTACTAATCTATATCCTCCCGAAAGAAAAGAGTAAGGAAAAAAGACACAAGAAAATGCATATAGCTAAATTCTTTATATCTTGCCAAGGTATTAGTTTCTGGTGTCAAGAAAGTGATTACAATAAATACTTAAAACTCAGTATCTAAACAATATCATACAAAGCAAAATATAAATAAATAGGTACAAATGCACATACACAGTAAACAACAGAACATCCACAAAGAGTAGAAAATTAATCTCATAAACCGGAAATCAAAGACAAAAGACTATACCATGTTATTGACCTAAAAAGTGTTACTTGTAATTGGCTTAGAGCTTTTAGGGAATGTTGCTTCAATACTTGACATGCATATCAAATGATCTTTGAAATTATGCAACATATCTCCATTTGGTGGACATCCAAGTTGACAAAAGTGAATATGAATCTACACTTAAAAAAGTTATTTCTCACTCTTTGATGAACATAGGAAAATAAGTACACCACAAAATGCCATAAATTCATAAATTTGTGTCAAATTGCAATAGAAAAAGCAACCTAATAGATGATTACAGCAACCTGAGATATTGTGAAACTCAAATATCTTCCAAAATATACTAGACTATACTAGAGCTTCTGGCATATTCTTCTACTAAGTATTTTCCTTAACATGTAAGATACTTCATTTGCAATCTAAACATTAGTAGAACTGGTTAACCAAATAGAGAATCCTCCCAGTCATAGGTCTCCTTAGCAAATAATCCTAATGTCTCATTTTGGCCTTTAGTTTTGTTATACCTGATGAAATATTTGCTGAAATATGCAGGTCGGGTTCTTTGTGTTCTCTTATTTATGATTGTCGAGTCATCATTATGCATTGTTTTATTAACTTGCTCTATCTTAGGATAATTTTCAGTTATTACTTCAGGCTTCTTTATTATGTTTATGAATCTTTCTTTGTTTTTGTGTTTGTTCTTGATAAATTAAGTTTATTGGGATTTCTGGAGAGAATTACACTCTTATTATGCTCATGATAGCTCTTTTGTTAATATGTTCCTTAATTGTCTTGCTGGAAGTTCGCCACGTTAACAATCCTTTGAGTTTTATACCCTGACCGCTTGATGCCATCCCAATTATTTTTGAAAGAGAATTAACCTATATTAAGAAGTCTAGAACCTGTGGTTTGAATCAAAGGCACATAAGAAAAGTCACATTACCAATACAAGAGTTATCTTATTAGTTTAGATATTGATACCTTTATTTATTAAGAATATAGATATTTTTGATGAATGGAAAACTTTTAGAAGAAAAGCAACTCTTCAGTCTAGATTATTACCAAAAGACCAAGGAGGAGTGCATCCACAAATTCATGATACAAGAGCGTTGTGGAAGTTCACAACTTTGCTGCTCTGTATGTCTGTAATGACATGGATGAACATGATTATCCCTTTGTGTGCGAGTCTCTGCAACTCACAAGAAAACTTTAGTCAATTTTGTTATTTAAACCTTTCACGAAAGATAATTCAATTTCTTACTGGCTGATTTTTCCTTCTGGTTCATTTGGATTTTTAGGTGTCGAATGAAAATATATCTCTATTTGACAGAGGCAATCAAGATGTGGGACTATACTGGATATGTTATTGTTGACAGAGGTGATCAAGTTGAAAAGTGAACATATTGGTAGAGCTTTTTTCTAAAAATAATAGATGTAAGTTTTCCCCCAACAATTTCATAACTATTATTGTTGTTTGTTCCTTTGCTGTTAGATTTGTGTGCTGTTTATCGAATTACATAAACTTGATTGTACTCATTTTTTTGGATCAGGTGTTTGTACTTTGTTCATTAGAAATTGCAGGTATCAATCTCAAGTGTGGTTGGACTTCTATCCACATGTAAGTGTTGTCTCATTTGTTATCTAGAAATTTGACTTGCACAGACAAATTATTGGTATTACCACTTTATAATTGATTCGATTGTTGCTTATGATGGTAATATTTACATGTATTGCTATATTCATTAAAATTTATGTCTGGAAATAGTGGCAGACAAAGCATGGCTTGATGGGTTCAATTGTGTCGATTATCTTCGACCCGATACATGACCCATATGTGATTTAAAGAGTGTAATGTTTTCAGTTGTAAGAACCTAAAGGATGAATTCGTGAAATTTAAATATTGAATCCTCTTCTTCGGCTAGAATGATAAGGCAATCTTAACCAATACTTTTCAGTGTGTAGTAGAGATTACTCCTTACTAGGTGGTTACCGTTTGAGAATTTTGGTTGGCCTTTTCCTGAAATTTTAGTGTCATATATATGAGATATGCTAGAGTGAACCTTCAAAACTTCATAATTGAAATTCATTGTTTTTCCAAGTGTGATACCATCTATTCTACAAGTTAGTAGACAATTACAAAATGAAAAAGAAGAGGATTACCATCAAAGTAATTCATAATTTTTCTGTATATCTTAGAACTACTGAAAATTTGAGTAAACATTCAACTGTTAGTACTATACCCTCCTTTGGATTGTTAATATAGTAGTTCCGACTACTGAGCTTGAATTGGGTTGCCTCTCTAATCGAGATCGTAGTTTTACACGGGCATATTTAATTTTTGTAATGGTGTCTGATCTTCTTATGCCCTCGACTTTTATTCCCACATGTGATCATTGCCCTTTGTTGAAAATCAGTGGTGCTTGAGGACTATTTGTACATATTTCATGTAGGGAACTTTTAGAAGTGTGTTAATGGAGCTGTCAATTATTCTTTTAATCTTTTTATTGTTTCATTTTCTAGGGAGCTATGCTTCAATACTTTGAGGATTCGGGAAATTTGATTTACATAGCCAAATTGTAAAAACAATGATTACTTTGCTTGGAGTATCAAGTTTTGTAGGATTCTAATTCGTAGATATCTTTATGTGATCTTCTAGAGTACTGTGGTGTCATCGATCTATGCGATTTTGCAATTTGATTATTTAGAGCAATCTGAGGATTTTTATTGTATTTGTGGATAGCTTAACTTGATCGTCTAGGATATTGTATAGCCATCACTCTTCGTGGTTTTGTATTTTGATTATTATAGAGCAGCCTGAGTTTTCTTTAGGTTGTTTATATTTGTTGTCTTCATGGATAGCTTAACGTGGTCTTTTAGGATACTGTAGTGTCGTCGCTCTCTATAATTTTGATATTTGATTATAGCGCAAAGGAGTTTCTATTTGAAGTTTTTTTTATCTTTATTGTCTTCGTGGATGGCTTAAACTGATCTTCTAGGATACTGTACGTAGTGTTATGGCTCTCTGTAATTTTTGAAATGTGATTATTTTAGAGCAGTATGAGTTTTTTTGAGGTTTTTATCTGTATATTATATTCGTGGACAGCTTGATGTCATCGTCTGGGTTACTGTGATTTCATTGGCCCTTGTAATTTTGAAATTTGATTATTTTAGAGCAACTATGTGACAGTTGATATATCATCCAGATATCATCTTCAAACTTAGTTGATATAAGTGAGCTTGGTTTGTGGTTTATGTCTTCTTGGTCTCTACTCTGAACATAGATATTATCTATAGCTTCAATAGACTAATTAGAAGTTAGAGGCTTGAGAAGTAAATCCTCCTTGAAGGACTGACTATCTTTCCCATTCTTACAAGAGCCAAGGTCAGCTTAGCTTGAAAATAGTTACAAGTAACAGACTGTCGGAAAAATCCACAAGGAATATATTCAGCATCCATAAGATGACATGAGAGTGTCAATCAGCAAAGAGGAGCAGAATAATCAGTAAACCAAAATTTCTGTTCAATTCAGAGAAATTTTGTTTCAATCAGGCAACACTCTTAAGTACCTTTTTTTTATTTTTCATAACGGGTGTCCACCCTAGCTTGCACTCTAATAAGTACCTAATCTCAAAGCAAGTAAGAATACCAAATAGCCATTTCTATATAAAATCCATGATACCAATCAAAAGTTCTCTTTTCGTAGGCTTTTTGCTTTCTATAAATGTAGTTGACATATAATACAACATTTTAGTGCTACCACAATGAGATGCCGAAAGAAATGGAAACAAGTTAGATGAATGTTATACCAGAATTTTGTGAAGGAACAACCACAAGAAGTGTAATGTAATCTCCAGGTTGAACAACATGAGTCAGAGCCCACACAACAACATTCTGAGATACCTCTTTTGATGCCTTAACAGCCACCATAACTTTCTCAGCAACATCACAACTACTTTTAACCTCCTGCTCCCCTTTCTTGACCTCCTTACTAATTACACCAGAATAGTTTTCACACCTTTCTTTAAACTTTCAAGAAAATCAATCCCACAGAACACTCATGTTTGCTTAACACAACAAAAAGATTTTCAAGAACAAAACTTTATATGCATTATTGTGCTGTTTGACCCACCATGTACAACTGAAATTGGCACTATTCTATAACAGTATATGCTGGTAAAGAAGAGACAACTGATGAGACCCTTTTTAACAACTAATAAGCCTAAGTGAATTTCTCAAGAAACTAAAGGTACAAAAGAAAAAGGAGTAATCTTTGTCCTATATAAGAAAAGTACTACTCCCTCCGTCCCATTTTATGTGGCAACATTTTACTTGAATCATTTTCTCATAAGAATGAGTTGGATTGTGCTCAGGACATATAATCATATGAAGAGCTAGGGTGACTTATGGATGGTATAAATATTGCAAACTTGAACTTTCCGAACTATGGATATAATAGGCAACTCAATTGTATAACTCTTAGACTTCTTTCTACGTAAAGAAATTCTCTGTTTCATTCAATTAGAATTGCCACTACAAGAATGATTGATGTAAACAACCACAAGAATTGTTTTGCTAATGTTACTTTAACCAAGGTAGGCATCATGTTTAGTTTGTTTGTACTGTTGTATTGTTATAGTGAAAAAAAAATCGAAACCATGCATGTTGGGCCCGTGCTGAATACGGGCTATGCCCTTCTAGTTAATTAATGTTTAAATTGAGTTTTTATCGATTGTTGTTTGAATAAGAAATTATTAAAGCAAATTTGACAGGCATACTTTATTTTAATCTTTATTTTTGTCCATTAATAATAGTTGTCGAACAATAATATTTGTTAAGTTTGAAAAATTAAGAGATAATTTATCTTTTTAAGTCTGTTTTACCCTTAATATTAAATACTCCTTATGTCATTTATTTTACTTGTCCAATTTTAATTTTTTACTTATCCCTTTTTACTTGTCACTTTTGACAAATCAAGAGAAGACAATATTTCTTACCTATTATACCCTCAATTTATTTGGAGAGTTAAAGTTTTTTCAAAAAGGTAAAACCTCTTTAATGAATACTTGATTTTGGAATTCTACTCCCCTATCCCGTTTTACTTGTCTATTTTTCCTTTTTACTTGTCAATTTTGACAAATCAAGAAAGGACTTTTTTTACTTATTATACCCTCAATTAATTAATTTTGAAAAAGGTAAAACCTCTTTAATGAGTAAATTGATTTTAGAATTTTATCAATTAATAGGAGTAAAATTATAAACTCACTAGGTCAATTATTATTTTCTTAATAAATGTGTCAAGTTAAAAGTGAACAAGTAAATAGGGACAGGGGGAGTGTCAATTAATAAGGATAAAATGGTAAATTCATTATATCAATTGTTATTTTCTTAATATGTCTGTCAAGTAAAAAATGGAGAAATAAATAGGGACAGAGCTACAGAGGAAGTATTATTCAACATCTAATGCATTTCTCAAAATATTAATTTAATATATTCAAAGAGTAATGTAATTGTAATACTTATTGAGTTATTCTCATTATTTATTATTTCTTAATATGAGTGTCAATCAATATTTGATAATTATTATTGGACGGAGAAGTAATATATTTATACTGGCAGCACATTATTCAATTGTTGAAAAATTCTATTGCTGTTTTAAATAATTATTAAATTAAAAAGATAGAATTTTTTTGTGAAAGTAAACACGTGAATAAACGTGATTATCTTATCTTTTTTCTGCTCTCTATCTCTATATTAGTCTTTTTAAATGTACAAAAACAGTTTTTTTAATATTATCCAAAAATATTGTCAATTTCAATTGATTAAAATGTCGAAATGAATGATGAAATGTGTAACTCATCGGCTATCTAAAATATAATATGTTGATCAAAGTGGAATAGAGGTACACAGACGTATATGAACCATCTAATTTTATTTTTTTTAAAAAGTAAAATAATTTTATCACTTGATCACAAATACCTTTTTATTAAAGTCTAAAGTGCTCGCGCTATCACCACTTTACCATAGAACATGATTGTATGAAAAATTTGATCATGACTTATATCAAATATTTTATGTGCAAAAGCAAAATAGACCTCTACGCTTAAAAGGAAGTAGAGGACTAATATAGAAAAAAAGGACTTTTCAAAATTATTACTTCTTTCATTTCAATTGATGAAACATCATTTAATTAGGTATAGAAGAAAATGGAAAGTTTTGAAATTAACGATCCAAAATAATTTTAGATATTTATGTAGATGTAAATCTTCAATATCATATAAATGACAGAGAAAACACTACTGATCATATTCAAATAAACATGTGCTTTTTGAATGGGTTAGAGAAGATCTTTAGGCAAAAATGGATAAGGGAAAAAAATCAAACAATAATCACCACAACATGAAGTATTATGATACTTTACTTCCTCAATTTTTAAGATAAAATATATTATTTTGATAACTAATAATTTTATTTTAGTAATCATAAAGAACAATATATTACAAATTCGTTGCTCAGATATTGTTGTAAATTTCGATTATAAATTAGTTTGTCTCAACGATCAGGAAATTTGACACACTCTTTAACACATATAGATGAACCAAGAAAACAATCTTTTACAATCGAAATTTAATCAAAAGATTAAACTCATACAAATGTCAAGCTAACATTGCAATTCAATTATAAACTAAGGATTAAATAGATTATTCGTATGAAAACAACAAACAACTCAGAAATATGATTATATTGGACTGAGGAAGATTTTACCACAATAAAATTTGAATCTCACTAAAGTGAGTGAAATATCATTTCATGAAAGAATATATTATCTTTTTCTATTTTTCAACGGTAATTGAAAGTATTTTTATAGGCAATTCTTAAAAGTTAACACTAAATTATTCATTTTGCTTCTCACATTAAACATTAAAAACTAAATTAGAGCTTACAAAAATCAAATTCCTTAGATACATTAAAAAAATATATTAAATCATCATCTACAACAATATTTTATTGTGTTCATTATACAAACAAGTGACATAAGGGTCAACTACTTGGCTGGAAGCCTGGAATATAATATATTTTTTCTAAATCAAATAAGTTCTATTTTAGGAAAAAACTACTTATTCGAGGAAAATACAAAAATACATGATAGGAGTGTAAAAATATATCGAAACTAAAACTTGTAATGTTGATGTAATTTATATATTTACTATAGGTAATAAAGTTGATTTCGATATTTCGCTATCATGCAAAGCGTGGACAAATTAATTAGTATTATTCACCATAGCAGTATTGTAGTACATAAATACAAGTATATACTCACAAGGAGTATACATATTTATTCTATTAGTAAGCTAATCAATTAAATTAAATTCAGACACCACAATAGGTCTTCAAAGCAGATTCACATTTCATGCCTTCTTCAGTATAGCTGAAAGTAATGAATTCAAGATGAGAAAAAGGCTTATAAAGTAAAGGATGTTCTTCATCTACCAGCTCTTTTGGTGCCTTTATCATGTATCCAGCTTTAGGTATTGTAAACAAACCAATTGAATA